CCCTGAGGCACCCCAGTAGCTAGATGTTGTGACTTGGACACCTCACCTCTTCAAGATACCTTGAAAGACCTATCTGAGAGGTATGACTCAAACCACTGGCGTGCGGTTCCTGAGATGCCATTTTCCAATAGGGTTGACAGGAGAATCTGGTGGTTCACTGTATCAAAAGCAGCAGACAGATCCAGCAAGATAAGTATAGAAGATTTGGAATCCGCTCTCTTTATATAATATGAAATATAAGAACATAAATATGTATATGCATGTAAATATTTCCAAAATATATACTGTATGTGTGTGTCTTTACATATATACATAATAAATATACACAGTACACATACATATATTATGTAAACAAAAACTTATATTTTGGATGCGATTTAATTGTTTGACAGCACTAATAATATAATATAATGTAATTTAATTTGTCAAATTGATCAGATTTTTTTTTATTCAAACTTATTTATCAAAGCAAAAAATATATATTCAGAAATCCTTTATGTAATATAATGTTTTCTTGTGGTTTTACCGTGTAACGTGAACCTGAACTAACTGTACAATATCATCTCTATATTGTTTAGACACTTATTGACAAAAAAAATTGACCAACGTTTTATCTAAAGCTTACTTACATTGCATTCAAAAATATATTTGTGAAAATATATAAATATATAAGTTATACGTAATATGCACAAGTTAATGCATTCACCCATGACCTTGGCATTGCTTGTGTCATTCTCTACTGTTTGAGCAATAGGAACTGCATTTTTAATAAATAAATTAATTGATTCTGATACAAAAATAACATGTAAGCCTGAAGCACAGAGGAGTGTGTCACATTTGATCTGAATCTGTGTGTGTCTCTGTGTGTGTGTCTGTGTCTCTGTCTCTGGGTGTGTGTGTGTGTGTGTGCAGCACAGAGTCCGACAGTGGCTGATTCTCTCCAGCAGGCGTATGCCGGTGTGCAGCACTATGCAGGTGAATCTCTTTGTCTGCCTGTTTCTTTTCACTCTCCTGAAGTTTTTATTTTTTTCCTGAGAATCTATGTCTGCATGTGTTTTCTGGATCAGCATTTCCATCAACAGTCTGCTGTCATGTGACCTCATTTTACTTTTTTTTTTTCTTTTTTTTTTTTTTCAACTGCTTGCACACATTTTCAAAACTTAACACACAAATCCAAGAATTGCATGCAAAATGCCTCGCATCTCTTGCAAAACTAAGCACTGCATTCAAAATATCACAAACACATCTCAAAAGCAAACACCTTTGCCATAATATTAATTAATGTTAGATTTGTGTGTGTTACACAGAGAACTGTGTGTTGTGTTTTGCAAAAAGTGTTTTATGAAATTGAAAACTGAGTCAAAGGCTGAGATCAGTGTCTGGTTTTGCAGATTTGGTGCATGCTTCTGCTGTTTGAGTGCCAGCTTTCAGAAACTGTGTGAAGTAAAGATTTAGTGTGTAAGCAGTGGAAAAAACTGTAATACAGCTGCTGGTATGTGGTTTCATAGAAAGAAATATGGTTATTTAGTAATTTGTCTTCAATTTAGTGTAAAAAAATATCTTCTGGCAGTTAAAGCAATGTTTAAAGTCACGGCTGGTGTCACTTCTGTTTCTTCTGTCACACTGGAAATGGAAGATCAGGTTGAGTGCATTGCATTGTGGGATGCTGGATGCTTTATTGTGCTCTGCACATACTGGAGAATGTAGCATGTCATGTGTGTACTGTGCACAGTATACATAACTGCATAATACCAGTGATATTTTAGCATGATTTATATATTATAGTCTATATATATATATATATATATATTGAATTACTGGTAGCTTAATTTTTTATATAATTTTAGTTTTGAGTTTAACACTGCTTAGTGTCATTTTAGTATTACTTATGTACTAATACAGTTTTTACTAATATTTTAAATTAGTTTTTTTTTATGTAGTTTGAATTTTAATTTTAAATTTAACACCGCATACTAGTGTTATTTTAGTATCACTTATGCACTTTTATTAATATTTTGAATTTTTATATTTATTTCAATTTTAGTTTTAGTACAAATTTTTTTTTTGTCATTTATGTGCTTTTATAATTTTTATTCGTTTTTTTATATATTACTATTTGAGTTTAATTTATTTTTATTTCACTTTTAGTTTTAGTTCTTGTTGAGTTTTGGTTTTATTTATTTCCGTTAAGTCATTTTGGTGCTTCAATTTAAACTTATTGTAGTTAGTCGTTATTTCTAATGTTTGTTTAATGTAAGTTTTTTTTATGTTCTGTATTTAATTTTATTAAGTTTTGTTTCAATTAACAAAGTTTTAGTTTTTCTTGCATACAGCAAGAAATATGTGACCCTGGAGCACAAAACCAGTCTTAAGTGTCAATTTTTCGAAGTTGAGATGTATACATCATCTGAAAGCTGAATAAATAAGCTTTCCATTCTTTCCAATTTTGACCCATACAATGTATTGTTGGCTATTGCTACAAATATCCCCCAGCGACTTAACACTGCTTTTGTGCTGCAGGGACACATGTGAATTACTGTAAACCCTCTATAATAAAGAAAAAAGGTGGAGGGTGAGTCGGAGCTCAGATGATGATGACGATGAGCTTTATTCACGTATTCAGCACCAGTGCTGTAAGTTGATGTGTTAAATCAGGAACATTAACGTGATTCTCTCTCTCTCTCTCCGGGTTACAGCAGCCTATACTACCGCTTATGCGCCAATCAGTCAAGCGTTTCCACAGCAACCAGCCATCATCCCCCAGCAACAGCGGGAAGGTGAGTGAGACTCCGCCCCTCCAGGTGACTGACAGGTGATAATTGCTCTGAGAAATCACAACAATCACACCAGAGCTTGAGCAGAAATCATCCGACCTTCATCCGTGCTCAAGATCCTGTACGTCGCAGGAAAGATGGAAGCCAGAATTCATTTAGCATGTCTTAATATGCATTCCTGACTCAGATGAAAAAATGATCACTATACCATTTCTATTGCCAGAAATCAATGCTCGAGTCATAGACCTGAAGAATTGAGTTTGTCAAGATTAATTACAGTTAGTTCATTTGATTTAATTTACTGTTAATCAGTTATTGTTTGTTTTTGTCTTATTTTGTTTTATATTTTGTATTTTATTTATGCATCATCTTGCTTTATTTGATTTGGTTTTAATAAAAAAAAAGTTTTAATTTTATGTTTTGTGTTATTTTGTCTGTTATGTTATTTATTTTACTGTTAATAATTGTTGTTTTCTCCATTAGCACTGTTTTTATATTAATTATTTATTTTTTAATTAATTTTGTCTTTTTTGTTTGATTTGATGCTAATATAACATTTTTATTACTTTTGTCTTGTGTTGTTGTGTTTTTATTTTTTTGTCTTTTATTTTTAACTTTATAATTTTAATTTTATTTTGTTAATTTTTTATTTGATTATGTTTTCTTTTATCTTTATTTTTATGTTTTGTCTTTTATTTTATT